GTGAAATTGTTTATTTATTAGGATTACAAATATTTACTTGAGGGAAATTTCTATATAGGTTAAAAAAAATTTTTAATGTTTGTTTATTTTTGAAGCAGAGAGAGACAGAGGGTGAGTGGGGAGGGGCAGAGAGAGATGGAGACACAGAATCCAAAGCAGGTTCCTGGCTCAGAGCTGTCAGCACAGAGCCCAGCGCAGGGCTCGAACTCATGAACTGTGAGATCGTGACCTGAGCTGAAGTCGGACATTTAACCAACTGAGCCACCCAGGTGACCCAAATTTCTATATAGATTAATTAAACTTTCAAAAAAACCCATGCTTTTGGGGCGCCTGGGTGGCTCAGTCGGTTAAGCCGCCGACTTCGGCTCAGGTCATGATCTCGCGGTCTGTGAGTTCAAGCCCTACATCGGGCTCTGTGCTGACAGCTCAGAGCCTGGAGCCTGTTTCAGATTCTGTGTCTCCCTCTCTCTGACCCTCCCCTGCTCATGCTGTGTCTCTCTCTGTCTCAAAAATAAATAAACGTTAAAAAAAAATTAAAAAAAAAACCCATGCTTTTGAGAGCAACATGCATGTATATTGTATTTGCAAATATATTTATGATTAGAGGGAAAGTACTGTATAGAATAATTTTCTTTTTTTAAAAAAAAATTTTTTTCAACTTTTGTTTATTTTTGGGACAGAGAGAGACAGAGCATGAACGGAGGAGGGGCAGAGAGAGAGGGAGACACAGAATCGGAAACAGGCTCCAGGCTCCGAGCCATCAGCCCAGAGCCTGATGCGGGGCTCGAACTCACGGACCGCGAGATCGTGACCTGGCTGAAGTCGGACGCTCAACCGACTGCACCACCCAGGCGCCCCTAGAATAATTTTCAAGAAGCATTCCTTCAGTGGTGATCACCTCATCTATATTTTTTGTTATAGGGTTTTAGTAGGAATGTAAGAATCTCAGCATTTTCTCTTCAACTTCATCTAAGGTCTTCTGTAATAATTGTATCAGGATCCCGGGGTGGGGGCGGGGGAAGAGGCGGGGGAAGATAACATATTCAAACGCAATAAAGAGAATTGAATGACAGGACTTTTACAAAAGTGTCACTAAGATTTTAGGAAATGAACAAAGTACAGAAGGTCTTCTGGATTTAGAAATAACAGAAGGCATTGCCATTCCTTGTCCTGTGGTCTAAGGAGAAATTATTGTAACATGGGAATTGCCGTAACTATAGCAGAGGGACCACCCAAAACAGGTCAAATACAGACTTCTAAACCTAGATCCAGCAGGGAGGGAGCCAAGACTATAAATACCATGATCTCCATCTCTTCCCACCTTCTCATCACCAGCCAGGTCCTCCCATTGGATGTGTCCAGTGGGACTCCAGAGGGCAAGGAGGCCTCGTCGGTACAATCCACATATGCCAGGCCTGAAGGATGAGCAGATCAGGGAGAGAACTGATCTCGAGGAGCAATGAACATCCAGAACATTTGAAATCATTATCTGTTAGATAATTCATTATCTCTGTGTGTGAAATTGACTTCACAACACGCACACAAAGTATATAAAGTGTAAGAATAACGTGACTACAAAGATAATGATGGGGCCTTGTGTCTGTAAATAATCATCAGTTTCTCCTTCTAGAGTCTGAACTACTGGATGTATTGCCACCTACTCTGAATAAGAGTATTTGAGCTCTGGGGAATTAAAGAACAGTCTTCTTTTCATTTTTTTTTTTACACTTCAATTTATTTTATGTTTATCATCTTCCCAAAGTGCTGCATTAAATCAAAAGGTGTGTTTTTGGAGTAACCTCGAAGTATATTCAGATTCCAGGTCCACCATTACTCAAGATGTAGTGATTATTTAACTTTCTTGGCTTCTACAAAAAAAAAAAAAAAAAAAAAAAAAAAAAAAAAAAAAAAAAAAAAAAGAAAGAAAAGAAAAGTCTCCTCTTTGTAAAGAAGAATTTTAATACAACTTTCAAAAGTAATTTTTGAATATTCCATAAGATAATTTGTACAGTGTACATGTCACTCTCCTGCCACACGATACTAACAAAATGTTAGTTTGAGGCTCAACCCAAAGGTCTAAAAATCCCTCTTTTCCCAAAGTAGTGGACTCATTCTTTCATTATAGAGAGACTAAGAATATTCTCTGGCTGTGATAGCACTAGAGATTTTTCAACGTTTATTTATTTTTGGGACAGAGAGAGCCAGAGCATGAACGGGGGAGGGGCAGAGAGAGAGGGAGACACAGAATCGGAAACAGGCTCCAGGCTCTGAGCCATCAGCCCAGAGCCCGACGCGGGGCTCGAACTCCCGGACCGCGAGATCGTGACCTGGCTGAAGTCGGACGCTTAACCGACTGCGCCACCCAGGCGCCCCACAGCACTAGAGATTTAATTAAAAAAAAAAAAAAAAAGCCTCGCATGCATGAACATCTTTAGCTTAAATGGAGGAGGTTTGCATGCTGGTCTGTATACATATGTGTGTAAGTCAGTCTGTATATGGTCGATGGTCTGGTTGGTAGAGAGGAAAGGAAACAAGACATCAGGGATATAAAACTTTCACCATGCTTAATAAAGTGGAATGAATAGAACAAAGACGATTGCTAAGTGGATGAAGCTCTGAACTTTTACCACTGGAACTGTAATTCAAGTTCAGTGTGATGCCTGACTGCTATGCCTGGGACTCTGGTTGAGGCACTATCCATGCCACCCATGAAGGATGTTGGAATTGGCTGCCTAAGCATAAACAGGACACATTTATTTTCTTAGCCCAGGGCCTAGAATTTGAAATTTTGTAAAACAACACAACAAAAATTAAAAATAAATTCTCAGGGATGGAGTCTGTGAATTAGGAGCGTATTTCTGACAGAGGCCATCATCACCAACCAGTGCATGGTTGACTTTACATCTGCCTTGACAATTTTTCTGTCAGTTAAATTAGAGATATTTAGGGTACATGCAAATACAGTTGCATTCACTTCACTAGAAGCATTCTTGTGTGCCTAGAGGGACCTTCTGAAATGTCTGTTTATGATATACCACTCCAAGCATACAAAGTTTTCAAATGTTGAGTTGTGATCAGCTATAAAAATCATGAATGTTAATAACTCAAAAGATATCTCTGTAAAAACAGGGTGGCATTCTTCCCCCCTCCCCCCCCCCACACACACCCTCGCCACATTGCCAGGTTATCATAATGCAACATAATATCACACGATGATAATTGTCTGATGATTCTTCTATGTATAAAAAAGGAGTCAGAGGTGAATACCTTTTAATGAAAAGCATATCTCTGTGTGCAGGGTTAGGGACATTGAATGATAGGCCCCTTATGAAGCACTTGGCATATAACAGAGAAACAACAAATAATAGTTACTTCTGAAATAGGTTTCCCATTGCTGACCACCTCGACTGTGTCCTGCAGTGACACGTGAGCCTTTGTTCTCCTTCATTTTCTTTAATACAAACAAGGACAGTAGTTTCTGTTGCACGCGGATACTAAGGAATTTGACTGAAAGGATGTCAAGTACCTAGTATAGTGTCTTGCCTGTAGTAGTATTCAATATATTTTTAAAAAAAAATCCTCAATATGCCATAAAGCTGACTCTTTAAATAAGAGTCAGTTAATGAGCTATTGGTATAAATATATACAGATGTCGCTCCAAGTTACAGACACCGATCTGAGAATACTTGATTCCGAAAGTGTTGCTTGTCATCAACAATTTATTTAAGGAGCCATTAATTCCTATTAAAATTAATCTAAAACTGACAGTGTGTCTATTCCTGGAAAAATAAGTCCAACAGCATTGTGGTGATATTGATGCTATGCATTCATATTTACATACTGTAGTTAAGTGGCAATTTTGTTGCTACATTAACATTTAAAAAAATTCCCGGAGCAGCCAGGCCCTTAATAGCAACTGCAATACCAGCCAGTTTTCAGTTGTTCTGAAAGCAGCACTAATTGAAATTGTTCACATCATTCATGGGTTGTGTCAAATGCCATCTCCTACATGGCTTGCACCTGGGAGGGGCACTGATTTTGTGTACAATAATAATTTCATAATAAAAACATATTTAATGCAAAATATTATTCACAATATCATACCAACACTGTTTTATACCAATAACAATGAAAGCATATATTTTAATAGACTTTAGCAGGTTCTGACATTGTATTAAAACTTTTTAATGTCTATTTATTTTTCAGAGAGAGAGAGAGCGCAAGCAGGGGAGGGGCACAGAGAGAGGGAGACACAGAATCTGAAGTAGGCTACAAGCTCTGTCAGCATGGAGCTGGACGCAGGGCTCGAACCCACTGACCACAAGATCATGACCTGGGCTGAAGTCACTTAACTGGCTGAGCCACCCAGGTGCCCATGACATTGTATTAAGTACTACCCCCCAAAATAAGTTTGTATACGTATCAAAACTGGGTATATAATGCCTTATATTTTATAAGAGAATTCTTACCTAAAAAGAGAGGATTAGAAAATAAATAAGTCATGGGGATTAATATACAGCTTGCTGAGTATAGTTCATAGTGTTTGAAAGTTGCTAAGATTGTAGATCATGAAAGTTTTCATCACAAGAAAGAAAATATTTTTGTAACTGTATAAAGTGGTAGATGTTATTAACTAGACTTATTATGGTGATCATTTTACCATGGATACAAATATTGTATCATGATGTTGTATACCTAAAATATAATGTTATAATGTGAATTATAACTCTGTTTAAAACTAGCAGAGAGTGGAGAGAAGAGTGTGGCCCTGTGCCTGAAAAATCATCTGGACCAAAATACAATCTAATATAAAACCATAGGTATGATATGATATATTATGCAATGTAATGTATTTCCTTGATATCTAAAATAGATCAATGTAGTAATTCAGTGGCTCCCAAACTGTATTTTCTTTTTAAGAAGAAAAAACCATCTTTAATTATGAGACTGTATTTGAAATGCTATTTCTCTACTTTCTCCTTCCCCACCCCACTTCTTAGGGGACATCAGACTGCAGCTAGGCTGTCGTGGACAAGCTGACTTCGAATCAAAACTAAACCACACTAAACTAAAATTACACAAAGCATGAGATTGAGATAAGGGGATGACAAGTATCCAGCTGCAATCTGCTAAATAACATGATGATAAATATGGGCTCTATTGCTCCAATAACATTGCCGCAGACTTATCAGATCAGAAGGTTTTTTGGATCCATCTGAATAAGAGGAGTACCTGATAGACTTTTCACCTATGAAAGGGTAAAGAACAAAATTATGTGGGTGTGTTCTTTAACCGTAGGTAAGTCTCACGCCTTCCATCTTGAAGGCTCAGGATTCCAGCTTTAATTTAATACAATGTAGATCACGCCCAGGAGTACTGATTTCAGTAGAAGGGCTCATGAAAGCCTATGTGCAAATGAAAAGGACAAAATAAATGACTGTTTAAGTACCTAGAGAAGTGACTTTCACATTTGCCCTAACAGCAATATAATCAAGTTAGACAGAAGCCAGGTTCTCAGAACTTGGCTTGAAGAGGTTTGTGATGTAAGCTGAATGTGCAGCCGTGTCAGGGACCTTTAATGAGATGCTTCTATCCCAATGGAGTTTTAACTCTTGGCCAGGCAAACTTGTCCTTTACTCTCTCCCTCCGGGACAGCATTTGAATTGACAGTGTCCTCTTGCTCTTTTACACTGATTTTTTTTTTTTTCTCCAGACTTACAGGTATCCTATTTGGTACATTTGTTGAGTGGATATTGGAGATCTGTTTGGGAGTGCTCTCTTATGTGCATCTATAGTTAGTGTTTAATCTCTGTGATGTAAGCACTTAGACCTTCTTAAGAGAAAAAGGCGAAATGGTGAACCAATGGCAAATCAGACCAGGTCTTTTTTTTTTTTTTTTTTTATGTTTATTTTTGGGACAGAGAGAGAGAGAGAGAGAGAGAGAGAGAGTCCGAGCAGGGGAGGGGCAGGGAGAGAGGAAGACGGAATCTGAAGCAGGCCCCATGCTCTGAGCTGTCAGCACAGAGCCCAACATGGGGCTCTTAACTCCCAAACCTTAGAGCTGTGAGATCATGACCTGAGCTGAAATCAGCCGCTTAACCAACTGAGCCACCCTGGAGCCTCAGACCAGATCTTTTTCTTGGAGGCAAAGCGTATCATGGAAAACCATGGATTTAGTGAAACTTACCTAGGTGTTAACCCTTAGTTCTCATGAATTAACACTGTGGTCTTGAGTAATTTGTCAAATAGCTCTGAGTCAATTCTTTCAAGTGTATTTACCTTATGTAATGATCATTGATACAAAGTGCCTGGAACCAAGTAGGTATTTCTTCTCCATTTATGTTTCTTTTGTTCTTTCATCTTACCCTTAGGACACTTAAAACCGGCAAGATAAACTCACATGCATATTTTGAGAATTACATGATTCTCTTGCAAAGAAGTCCATCAAGCAGCACAAACAATATCAAATGACATCTGAGTCATTTTCTCTCTCCTTAAAACTTTACTATATAACAACAACTAGTGGATTTCCAGGTCATCAATATTTTTGGTGCCATATTTTCTTTTTCATCACAGGTCCTTCTTCCCCTATTTATAAATTTTGTTCTCTAAATTGTTTTATCTTTCTTTCCTTGAGATAAATATGCTGAAAATTCACTCTTCTCCAATGAAGTTTTATTTTTATTTTTTTTAAAGTTTATTTATTTTGAGGTGGGGTGGAGAGAGACAGTATGAGTGGGGGAAGGGCAGAGACAGAGGGAGAGAGAGAATCCCAAGCAGGCTCCATGCTGTTAGTGTAGAGCATGACTTGGGGCTTAAACGCATGAAACCGTGAGGTCCTAACTGGAGCTAAAATCAAGAGTCAGATGCTTAACCAAATGAGCCACCCAGGTGCCCCATCCAATGAAGTTTTAAAAGATACCCTTATCTTGTGCTTGCCAGAAAATTAAAGTAAAATATTAGCAGAGTGCCTCATTTATTCATTAAACTTAAAACCAGTGACTTCGTGGCTGAGCGGGTGTTTAATTATAATGATAACTTCCATTATTTACTATTCACTGCTGATGTGTGTTTTGTTCAGTTTGTAACTAGTGTTTCTTCTAATTCACAGCTGACAGCAAGGAGAGAAAGCAGAAACTTCCTTTGGCTCTATCATAATGCTGATGAGGAGGAAGAGGGGAAGAATCAAGTGCTTCAACCTTTGCATGGAAATCACATATGTAACATGAAAGTATTTCTCTGCTAACTATTATCTATTAATTTGGGGGAGAGTTAGGAGGACTATATGTTTTGAATCCCCAATAACTGCCAGGCATAATAGCAGGCATTTTGCCTAACGAAAAAGAACTAACATTTGCTAAATGTCTCTAGATACTAGAAACCAGGCTCCTTTCTATATATACATTTCATTGAATCCACTAATCCTCAGAATGTGAAACCTTCTTTTTGGCAAGTGAAGAAATAATTTCCAAAGGTTTGCAGACAAAGCGAGTAAGTAGAAGAGGCAGGGATTAAACAGGTCTGAACAATCACCACATTTTACTCTTTCAAAAATACCAAGTTAGTACAACCAGGAAAGTAAAAATCCTATTAACAACTAGGGGATCATCGATACAGCACTTCATAGAGTTATTATATTATTAACATTTTTTTTCAAATGCAGTTTCTATATCGAAGGGAATGTAATATGCAAATATTTTAAAGGGTCTTACAGGTAATTAAAAATATCAAAGACATTAAAAAGCATCCCAGGTATTTTTGTTTTCATTCCAAAATTTTTCAACAAACCTTTTTTTTTTCTTTTTAAGCCTAAGGTAAATTTCAGAACAACCATTATCAACATTATTTAAATCTCTTAATAGATGGAGACTAAAGTATTAAAGTTGTATCACTATGGATGAAGAGCTTCATTCTCTTAGAATGGCTGTCTTGTCAATTCTCTGAATTTATTTCATAATTGCTGATACACATCTTCTTACATAATCCTACCACTTAAGAGAATGGCTGGAGGCCTACCCATTTCTCATCCAGGTTTTTTCAAATCTCTCCTCTCTCATCTGATCGCATAGTTTCTCTGCTGTTTTTGTCTGGTGACCATCCTCACTAAATACATTAGGTTCTAGACTTTTTTTTTTAATATCAAAGCTATTTCTCCTGGTATGTTCTAAGCATATTGAGGGAAAGGACAAAATGTTATCATTTTTTCTACCATTTACAATACCCATTAACAGGCAGATACCAAAAGAGATACATGACAGTCAAAAACTATGGAGTAGATTTAAGATCAAATGTATAGGTTTGTGATCAAATCCTTTTGTGTCACTTACTTAGCTGTGCAAACTTAGGCAAATTAATTAACTCTCATTTATAAAATGGAAACCCAAAAGCTTTACAGGTTTTTTCATGAAACTTTATAAAGTTGTCTCACAGCCCTTATTTTCAAAGAATAGCCAGTGGTTATTGGAAATATACCAATAGTGTACATTGAATAAATTACTTAGCCTTGTTAAGGCATAGTTTTCTTGTCCACAAAATGAATATGAAAATAATTGTTATCTCGCAGGACTATAATGGCTATTAAATAAGGTGATATAACTACATTTCTTAGCAGAGTGTTTCCATAAATGTTCAACTATTTCAACAGTTTGGTCACGTGCCCCAAAGTGACACCTGACATTCCGTCTTATTAAATCCAGTCTACTTCCTCAGTCCCTGCGTGCTTTGCTTATCCTGGAAGAAGTCTAGAACTTCAAGTAGAAGAGAAGAGGACAGAAGTTGTCTGCTAGAACAAGAACAAATGGCTAAACTAGAATGGAGGATGAAGGGTCCCAGAGTTGAATAACTGCCCTTATATTGTTAAGTGAAGAAATACTCATGTGAAATCATATTGTCAAACAGAAAACAAATATTAAAAGGAATGTTATGAGTCTTTTGAAATGCGGCAAAAGGAGCGATGGTTAAAATTTTAACAAGTGAGAGTCATTAGCTAAACAAATCCTGACAGCTTCACAGTCACAGAGACACCTAACAAAGGCTTGATTTGTGAGACGCCCTTAATAGTCCCTTTGCATTTCCCTCAAACATTCCGTTTTGTTCCTCTACTGTGGACCCTAAAGTGTCATTCCCTATTTCTCTCTGCTAGCCATATATGTTTAAAAAGTATAGCTAACGTTTCCCTTCATCGATGATCAGAAGAGAGATTCTCTCCTGCATCTTGCTGTATTGATCCTCTTTAAAAGGAGGGACATTGCTGACAAAAATGAATCAATTGATGCCTTTAAGCTTTCAGAATGAAGACTTTCTTTCTTAGGTTTTGCCATTTTCTCTCAAATGATAAAACAGCAGTTGGTTCTCTTTGCCCCACTCTAAATAAGACTAAAAGGTTATGGATTATGCCATACATAATTTATAGTACTTAAGACAAAGGCGACCTGATAGAAATACACTTTAATGAACACCTACCAAATGCGAGGCTATATGGTATTTAATTTACATGTAATTCTCTTGTAATTCTCATAAAGGTATAATGGGGTAGGAAATATTAACCTTATTTTGCAGTCAAGGAAACCAAGGTCAGAAGTTTGAAAATAAATGACAATAAAAATCCCTCACGGAACAATACATGTAGAAGTGCTTGAGAGAGAAATGGAATGAGAAATGTATTCCATTTATTCACTTTCTAGCAGGGAAAAATATTATTATTACTAATAGTTCATGTTATATTCATACTTCAAATTTATTTTGAGTCTTATTATATTTTCATTTCATTTCAATTTTAATATGACTGAATAATAGAACTTTTAGTTACAATTTTCTTACTGAATTACTTCAATTCCCCCCCCCCCCGCCATAGAAGCATATCCCAAATTTTACAGAGCAGTTGGTTGGCTAGGAAAACCATATTTTTTTGATAGAGAAATATACTTTAAACAGAACTGGCCAAGAGTAAATCCCCTTTTACATGAGCTAAGTATAAACATGTGCATTGACTCAAAAATAAGTGTCTGTTATTTTAGATATATTTATTAATGGACAGTCGTCTTAGGCAGTAGCAGAAACAATAAACCTAATACTTTTGAAATCTCTGTGGAAAATTGCCATAATAGAGAGCTGGTGTGGAGAAAGAAAAAGGGTGTGCAAAACTGATTTCATTGAATTTTCAGTATTCTCCCCTATAAAGAAATATATTTATTCATTTATATATTTATTTTTCTCCGATGAGCTCACTGTGAAGCACAAATATTTCTCTAACCAGAGGTTTTATAGGAGAGTATTTTTTGTCTGTTTGTTTTGCCACCTGTCAACCATTTTTCTCCTTCCAGTGGATCAAACTTTTGAAATCTCAGCAACTTTTGAAAGGAAATCGGAGTCTCTGGATGGAGCCATCATATTGTTCTCTGGCCACTGGTGCGTGGTTAGTGACGTAGGGAGAAGAATGAAGATGTGGAACCCAGAGATATTTTCTTCCTGTTCAAGGCCCCAGAGTCCACCTTCATACCCTTGGAAGGGAACCCAGGGTCCATTCTTCCTGAGTACTATCTGAACATGCTGCATAGGTGACTGAAGGCTAAAAAAAGTTTGATGGGAGAGTGAGTGTGTGTGTCAGAGGGAATTAATTCCTAGTATTGTTTAAGTTGAGGTAATTTTACTGAACTTTTGTGAGAGCCATAACCACAGAA